TTAAAAAATACATAATCCTGTGAAGGTGACACAGGAAGCACTTCCTAATCTAGCCCCTGACTGTATTTGCTCTCTGCACACTCAGCCACATGTGGTTCCCTATGTGCAGGATGTGTTTGCCTGTTCCCTTGGGTTATGTTCTTTTCTCTATTACCCAGGGTACCTTAAACACAGCTCTAATAGAGCAATTTATAATGCAAATGGCAACTGTTAACTTATTTTCTTTACCTCCACTGTTTAACCCAGTTCTTGACTTATAGTAAGAACTCAATAAATCTATGCTGCTTCTTTTGTCAAGTAAAAGTTTCTTACTCTTCAATTTAGGTGGCACTTGAAATTTTGTTAGCTTACCCCTAAACACTTAAGGATGCATACCAAAGTGTTTTCAAGCATCATGAGGTAATTAATTTAAAAGTGTGAATTTCACATGGAAAAGGCTTAATTTTTTCCTAGAAAAATACTGCTTGTGAAATACAATTTTCATAATCTGTATAACGCATATACATAATTCATAATTGAAAATACCACTCTGTTACATAGTCAAAAGTACTTTATTTAAAATTAGAGATAAAATAGGGTCAAACTTAAAGTACATACAGATCAGTGTCAATTACACATTAATTACACAAATTCATGTAAAAATAACTGGTGTTTTAAATGCTCCGGAAGAAAGCAGCTGCTGTCTTGAGTACCACTGTTTTACACTAAGAAAAACTCATTCAGTGCAATAGAAAAATAATGCTTATAAATGTGGAAGGAATTCTCCATCTTCTCTACTAAGTTGAGTTATTTGGGAAAAGAAATCAGTGGTATGAAATCTATTCAGTATCTACATGTTAGTAATTATGAAAGCTAAAATATATCCCTGGATTCAATCCCTAGTATAAAAAATAGTTCTTTATCTGGATTGTATGGTAGTTAAAAAATTTATACATGGGACTAAAATATATATATATGTATTTTTATATACATATGTGTGCATGTGTGTATATGTATGCACACACACACACACACACACACACACTCACAAATATAAGTTAAAATGACGAACAATGGGGTGGGGATACAGCTCAGTTGGTAGAGTGCTTGCTTTACATGCACAAGGCCCTAGGTTCAATCCCCAGCACACACACACACACACACAAATGTAAGTTAAAATTATGAACAATAGGCTGGGGACACAGCTCAGTTGGTAGAGTGCTTACCTTTCATGTACAAGACCCTAGGTTCAATCCCCAGCACACACAGACACACACACACACACCAAAAAAAAAAAAAAAACGATGAAAATATATAGTCTAGGTCTAGACAATAGTTATATACAAATACCAATTTCCTGGGTTTTATATTGTATCATAGCTTACAAAATATCACTACTGTAGGAAGTTTACACGAGTATAAGGGAAGGCTACATAGGACTCTAATAATTAATAATTAATAATTAATTTCCTATAATTATTTCAAAATAAAAATTTTACCAAAAAATAGTCCTGGAGAAAATCTGAATTTGAGCCTAGGTCTGCCTGATTCTCAACTAGTACTACTTCCCTGCTACCATGACACCTACAAAAACTATTTTATGAAAATATAATCACATGAAAAAAGAATGTATAGGAGGATTATCCCGGATAACATTTAAAGAAGTTTAAGAAAATTTAAAAAGTACTTTATTAGGAAAAAGTTTAAAATATCAAATTATTCCATTTGTAGCTACTAAGACCAAGTGTTTCAATGTTCTAATGTAGTCCTGGAAAGAGAATCTCAGAAATCTAATAAAAAGTGATGACTGGGCTGCTCTCGCACTATGGCTGGGAGGCACTGCCTCTCACTCACCTATTACTAGAGGCAGCTCTAGAGTTTCCTGTAGTGTTACCTTGTTCATCTGAAAGGTTAACAGCTGTGCCTCTCCTCCCACACCAGGTAAACAAATTGCACACCAGCAAGCTGTAACTGGAGTCATTACGCTATACACTTGGCATCTCTTTCCCATCAACCCAGGAACTTCCTGATGAGGTTGTCCTTGTGATTTACAGAACATGGCCAGATGACAATTATCACAGCCAGAAATATAAGCTAAAGATGCCAAAGGGAAGTGAACAAAAGTTGCTATTATCTGTAGATCAATTCATTGTATGGTATCTATGTAAAATTATACATACAAGGAAGAGCAAGATAAAATGTGAAAGAATCAAAAGAGTTAATCATTTCATTTTCATTTCAATTAAAATTAACTATAATGGTTTTTATCAAATAAATAATTTTTAAAACCAGAACCAAATCATTTCACTATGTAAAGTCCCAAGTGCTAAATATGCTACTGGTCATGGGTACTACAAATTCAATTGTATCTAGTTCATTTTCACAAATACATAGTATCAAATAAATTTTAAGAATATAAGGATAGGACATTGCTTTTCCAAGTGACACAGAAAACAAAAAAGGTACCATTTTGTGCTTCAAGGGGGAAAATACAGATACAGAGTTAACAAAAGCCAAAAAATATCATATTTTGATATGAAGTGTACTAACATGGCAAATTTATGTTATATTAATAACAAAAAAGAGAAAACTCATGAGAGTTGTCTTCAAGTCTTCAAGTATTCCAAAGGAGATAGATGTCGTCAATTGTACTACACAGGGCAAAACTAGATATATAGTTGTTTTGGTTTTGTTTTCATTTTTCTCCCATACATATATATATACATATATATACGTATATCTACACACACACACATATATATATACACACACACAAATAGAGATGTGTATTTAAATATTATAAAATTAAAGCTCAACTATTTATAGAATTTCAGTTATAATAAGTCATTAATGACTTGTTAACTGTGGAAATGCCTAAACAGAACTCCATACTGGAGAGGAGATATGAGACCCTTTCCAAGAACCTATCCTCCCCAGAGGCCCCAGAGGTCAAAGCAAAGCATCTTGATACCCAGGGCCACAAAATAAACAGTCCATAGGGACTAGATATAAGGAAGCCCTGTAGCCTGTGAGGTGACTTGAGGATGACATTTTATCCAAAAGAAGTGAGACAAAGAGCACGGAGATTAAATGACCCAGACTACTTTCTCAAGAAAAATTTTACATTTTAGAGAAGCAGCAAAAGCAACAGAGAAGAAAGGAAATACAGGGGCATTGGAATAAAAAGAGGAAACAGCACTTATTATGGCAAAGCTGCCACATACAAAGTAACCAATACCCAACTGAGGGAAGAACAAGCTGACTAGGCTTCCAGCTTTCTAGCTAGGTCCCCAGAACTGTGGAATGTGTTCTAGGAAAACTTGATTTCACCTACCAAGGCATTTTCCTACTACCTTGTGTAAATTTACTCATCAGAAGAAATCTTTTTTTTCCCCTTGGTTTTTGGTTTTCTTTTGTTTTGTTTTCATCTTCGTTTTTCTCCCTTTTGTTTTAAGCCCAGGGCCGAGGACCTAACGTAGGGCCTCATATATGCAGTAGCTCTGCCACTGAGCAAAATCCCCAGCCCTCATCAGAAGGAATCTTTAGACAATGCTGAACTTTATCTGAACCCCATACTCCTGGAAAAATAATGACAGTCAAGAAATTACTCACCTTTTCATATTCTGAGAAATGGCTTACTGCAAAGAACCATTCTTCCTAATGACTTAAATAAAAGGCCAGACACAGACCCTCCAAATTCCCATTCTTTATCTCATACATGATCACTTCAACTGTTTTCATTTTTTATCTGGCTGGTCAATGTCTGGGAACTGGACTTTACCAAATTTTACTCAGGTTTCTTACTTTGGCCCACACTTCAGCAATGGAAGGTCAACAACTCTTCTTTAATGGCTCCTGCCAGGAATCAGCTGACCTCAGGGAATATTACTGTGCAATCACACCAGTCCCTCTTCCCATTCCCCCACACCCATTTTCTTCTAGCCTTCTTTATTTCCCCTATAAAACAAAAGTCCTTTTCTGCTTAACCCTGGAGATGCTTATAGATCGCAAGGTTAAAATGGTTTCCCCTTTTGCAATTTTCTTCCTCCCCACATGGCAATCATCCTACCGTCCTATGTTAATATTAATAGTCTTTTGGGTTAAAGCCTCTCCTTATCTATGCCCAAATTTGTTTTTAATTGATAATTTCAGTCTGTAAAGGATCTAACTTTACAAAATACAAATTAAAGCCATTAAATATCCTCATATTTATTCCTTTTATTTTATAGATTCGAAACTATTATGTCTTTCTTGATATATGACCTCATTATAAAATACATGGAAACATAGACCATCATAAATAACATGTTATATTTCCCCAATGTTCAAATAGAAAAATTAGACTATTAATTATTAAAACAAACTATGATTGCTAATAAAGCATTTCATAAAGAAAATGAAAATTTAAAACCACACAACTAAAGTTTTGAAATCAAAGAAATCATTTCTTTTTTTAATTTTTTTTAAATGTAGATGGACACAACACCTTTATTTTGCTTATTTAGTTTTATGTGGTGCTGAGGATCAAATCCAGTGTGTCACACATGCTAGGCAAGCACTGTACCACTGAGCTACAACCCCAGCCCCAAAGAAATAATTTCTTCAGGTTTTACTTTTATCTGATATAGTTAAATCATCTCGTTACCACCTGTTCAACATGAAAATAGCTTAAGGAATTTGTGTTCACATTGGCCAGTTATTAACTCAAGCATGAAACTAAAAAGCATACAGTTGCTAAAGTTACTTCTGAAAGATTTTCTGCAATAATTTTCCACTTCTCCAGTGATCCAGAACCCCAGTCTCAACTTAGTTTCTCTCACTCTAGAAGGTATTGCAGATAGCACATTAATTTGGGACATATATAAAATATATCCTCAATGTTTTTAATCCAGAAAGAAAATACATGACATTTCCATACCAGAAAGGATATTTTTCTAAGTTACTTCCATTTCTGTTTATGAAAAATATTTTGAAATAATATTCATATAATAAAACATATCACAGAAAAATGAACTACTCACCCGCATTGACTATAGCATCTATCTCTAGCAATGTGATGTCACCTCTATACAGAGAAACTTTTTCACTCAAACTTTTCTTCATCTGTAATGTTTCCTGAGTATTTTCTTCTGTAATAAAAGGGATACATATTAATAGTAATATCATAAATTTAATTGACAACATTTAAATCAAGACAACTATAAGAATCAATATGAATTATTCTCTGCTACAAAAGACAGTGGAAATAAGTATTTAAATACCAGGAATAAGTTTATTATGTATTTTTTTATATTCTTCAACTAAATGCACTATCATGCACATACTGGGCATTTGCTATATTTTGGCAAGTTATTCAATATTTGCTATTACACATTTATTATTATTATTAAAATGTCCATTTTAAGATAAAAATTATGTACCACTACATTCACAAGGAAATAAGAAAAAATGTGCAAATATGAAGAAAAAATAACTTTTTTGTGGAGGAACTTATTTCTGTTTTATCCAGTTACTTAAAAAGTACCCTTGAAAAAAATATTTAGATGAGCCCCACACAAAAAAAATAAATAAAAGGGTCAGCTCTTTGCTAATCTAAAATAACAAGCTATCCCTCAGGATATATTCAAGAACATCTGAATTTGTAAAATAGTCCTTCTAATCAAGTTGGATTTAACCTTTCACTCTAGAGGACACTGTTAGATACGAAAGAGAAATAGTTCTACCCAACACACAACAGCCAGCAAGTTGGTGTACTTAAAAGAAGTAAAAAACTTTAGATTCTAAAATTATATATATTTTTAGATATTTCAGAGAAATATTACAAATTTTGAATTGTCATTTATTTTTGGAAAATAGCAATGTTAAGACAAATTAAACTTATTAAACAAAGATGTATGAAGTCAATGTTTTTAAATATATTAAATTGCTATGCATAAAAGGCTTTTTAAATATAATTCTAGGGAAGAGGATTTATAAACTCAACTTTTAGTATTTATGATCTGAACAAGTCTTTTCATGAAAGAAGACAATACTATTCATTCACTAACAAATACTCAGATGCAATTTTGAAGTATATTGGAGGTTAGAAGTGATAGGTTATAAGTAACCCATATTGTCTTTGGGACTCATCAGACAATGAAAACATTGGCTAGGACTAAGGAAATAATCTTTGGCCATTAAAGTGATCCTTCCTGTCTTTGCCTACAAAGCATTCCATTCTTAGCAACCATTTCTCTTCTTAAAAGATTCTAATCAAAATATTCACTGGCGATAATAATGAGGAGGAGGAGAATATTGTGAGAAAATTGTTTGTTAAGGGAATAGAGAAGAATACAACTAGAGATATGAAAAATTGTGCTCTATATGTGTGATAAGAATTGTAATGCATTCCACTGTCATGTATAAATTTAAAAAAAAGAAAATGAAAATTGGGTCAACTAATTTACAAAAAAAAAAAAAAGGAGATGGACTTTAAGAAACTTCAAAATATAAAACATCCATAGTTGAGCTGACTACTTCATTGACTCCTAGAGTACTATTTTTCTCAGTCAGGAACAGACTTTATTCCCAGATTCATTGTTCAGATTTCTAGTTCTGCCAATTAACAGCTGTGTGAGCTCAGATAAGTAATTTATTCTCTCCATACTTCAGTGTGTACAATATTCCTTCACAGTAAACGTGAGTTCATTACATTTAGAATAGTGTTTGCCCCATTATAAGCTATCAACAAAACACCACCTTCTTTTTAACAAAGGTGACAAATATTGTGTCAGCATCCATATTCAGCATATGTGGATCACAGTTATTTTTTCAAAATGCTATTTCGAATAAAATGTCAATACACCTATTATTATTATTCCCTATTATTTAAAGAGATGATATTTTGTTTGTGCCATTAAAATTGTCAATACCTAGCCCAATGACAAAAATTCTAAACCACAGCAAGACCTTGAGACTCATATCCGATCAGTTCCTATTTTCGTGACTTTAACCAATTAGAAAGTCCTGGCTTTTTCTGACAATTCTAGATACTTGAATCACCATAAACCTACAAATTATAAAAGATTTCTCACTGAAGAGTTTCAGAACTCCATTCAGCATTAAATTGGCAAGCAAATCACAAATCAAAGCAGAACATTTAATTCTATTTGACAGAGTAATTAGATTTCTAAGCCATTCTCTAACAGCTTATAGCCCTAAAAAGTATTTCTTCATTTTCTCATGAAGTCTTTTATATAATACTATATTTTAGTGATATGATTTTAAACATATGTGACCATAAATCATATACTTTTTTATCCAAAAGTAAAGAAATTATTAACAAAAGGTATTAGAAAGCATCAAAATTTAAACCATTATATCACAGTTCAGGTTTGATTGGTTGATTTCTTAATCTTTCATCAGAAAATTTAAATTGAGCTCAAAGTAAAGGATCAAACAATTCAACATGAATAAACACAAACTGTTATCATTTATCATTCAAGTAAGTTACTCAAAATAGTCTTTAGGAAAAGTGTCAGCATCATTCTTTACATAGAATGCCAAAGAAGCATGTCCATACTATACTTACAGGCTGCAATTTCATGGTATTAGGAATTGTTAGCACTTCCTTTGACAATAAATCAAAAACAAATAGCATATTTTTGACCACCAACTGTTCTCGGTGACTATAAAATATAAATTACCACTGAGAGGTCACCTCTTTTATTTGCATAGCAATGCACACTGTATTTTATCAGCACTAATCTCATTATATATCTTCTATATCCTCAATTTTCCAACAAAAATGTGTACACAAAGCCAGGTGGGTGGTGCCCACATGTAATTCCAATGGCTTGGGAGGCTGAGGCAGGAGGATTATGAGTTCAAAGACAACCTCAGTAACTTAGCCAGGCTGTAAGCAACTTAGCAAGATCCTATCTCTAAATAAAATATATATAAGAGCTGGGATGTGGCTCGGTGGTTAAGTGCCCCTAGGTTTGAGCCCTAGTACCAAAATATATATATATATACACATATATACACATACACACACAAAGCAGCAATTCAAATTTTGCATCACTGGTTTATGTAAGTTGAAAGATCTGTTAGTTTTGCTCTTCTAGATTGTATACTATTGATATTGTCAAAAAAAAAACAGAGCTAGACATTAGTAGAAGCAATAAAAACAGATTTTTATTATTTATTTATTTATTTATTTTTGTAACCAGCCCTTTTTATTTTTTGAGACAGGATATCACTAAGCCCCAAAGGCCTCAGTAAATTGCTAAGGCTGGCTCTGAACTTTCGATCCTCCTTTCTCAGTCTCCCAAATCACTGGGATTACAGGTGTGGGTCATCACACCCAGCTTTGAAAACTAAAAAAGAAGAAAAGGAGAAAAACTTCAGTATAAAATATGCTCAATTCCAAATACTACAAGAACAAGTAGGGATTTATAGCCAAGGAGCAAGACTGGGTGGGGTAGGGGAGATCAGTGAATGGAAAATTATAGGGTTGACTAAACAGACCTAACAGGATTCTTGCTGAAGGCAGGCAACTTAATAACAGACTGTCCAGTTCAGCTTCCAGGAATTCTAGGGCTAAAGGAAAGTTTTAGTTTTCAATAAATGCCAAGTCAGGAGGGCAAAAAAATTGGAAATGTTAATTTGGAGAATTTAGTCAACTATGGGAGAAACGAGAAGAACTAACAAAATATATATGATAGCAGGATCCAGTCAATTTATAAGCTGATATAAATGAACAGGATTAGAACTTAATAACTCACAAGTGTACAGTATTGTTTTCCATTGAAACATAAAATTTCTCTCTACAATTATCTTCTTTTTTTACTGTTATTTACAAAATAGGTCTGGTCTCATTATATTCAGCCTGATTATTTACTTAATAGCAGCAAGAATAATAATTGATCATTTAGAGCTTTAGGTTTGTTTTGCTAAACTTTTTTAACAATAATCTCTGATTAGACTTTTAAAAGCCTCTCAAAGAGTGTAAGCCAAGCCACAAATTCAGGATATTCCCATGTTAAATACAGATTCTTCTCCTGGGTTCCCCAAATATCCTGTTTCCTGGGCCTTCTAGCAAGTGGCTTTCCTTACTTACCTATAATGTTGTCAGCCCTAGAAGCGTGGTACTAGGACAGTTTTTCCAAGAGAATTTTGTTAAGCATTAACTTTACAAAATCAACCTTAGTCCTCAAAAGTGTCTGGACACATCTGATTCAATGCATCATTCTCAAATATAACATTCCATCCAAACACAGATTATAAACCAGTTTTTCCAATCATGCCAAGGAGAACAGATTCTTACTGAACTGAGACAAATAATTGTATTGCCATGAAAATAAGAATACTCAATTGTATTCATCCAAATTTGAAGAGATCAGGTAAAGAGAAAAGATTAATATTTCATTTCTTTTTACAAAAGCATATTTTGTAAAACAGGATATTTGGGGAACCTAGGAGAAGAATTCATACAAATCTATATTTAATAAGCTATAGCTAGGTTGAGAGAGGAGAAAATAGGTTCTTTGGGGGAAAAAAACAAAACTAAACTAAAAAACATTAAAAGCCAGATGTGGTGGTGTACTCCTGTAATCTCAGCTACTCAGGAAGTTGAGGCAAAAGGGCCACAGGTTTAAGGTCAGCCTGGGCAACTTGGCAAGACCTTGTTCTAGGTTCAACCCTCAGCACTGAGAAAAAAACCCAAAAAACCTAAGTTAGAAAAAAAAAAAAAAGATGTAATTTGCAAGGGAATTGGTTATTTCTGTGGCATACAACATTTAAGCAAGAGCTAGAATTATGACTGATAGCCTGATGGCATAAGATATTGGAAAATTTCCATAAAATTTATACAATTTCTGAAGTCTCTGAAGTATTTATGGTAATAATATTTCCTCATACAACTATCACCTGAGAAAGGTTAAACATCAATTCTTATTTGACAATGTTTCTGTAAGGAGCATCTGCCATAGACATGCTGGGACATGCTGGGACTCACTAAGTTGCTGGCCACAAGGAACAACAGCCATTGAACTGCTTAGTCATGTCTGCTTGCAATTGATAAAGAGGTGTAAAGGGCACTAGCCATAGGCGTGCTTAGCAATGACAGGTTACGAATGATAAGGAGCACAACTCCATGAACATGCGAAAAGAACATGCCTAGTTGCAATTACATCACCTCACTGGACATAACCAATGGATGCTGACTTTTACTGGGTGTAACCAATCACCAACATACGCCACCAACTTGGAATTGTATTTAAATTGCTGGTCCTGCCACACTGAAGAGTTTTGCTACAAGGCCATCAGTGAGATTGGTGACCTTGCTGTCCATCCCTGGACCTACTCTACCATTCCCTGACGTCCAGCCATCAGCTGGAGAGAACCACCAGACAAGGAAGAGAAGTCATGTGGCATCAGAGGTATTTTGGAACTGTGGTTGCCCTAGGATTGTGTGATTTGCTTATAGTGTTTAGTTAATGAGCAATGAAAGCTGGTTGGGGTACTCTAGTATACACAACACTTTTGCATTAATTGTTTATCTGCTTATAGTGTTTAATTAGTGTGCACTGAATGCTAGTTGGGGTGTTCCAGAACAGCCAACACTTTTTGCATTAATTGTTTATATTTGATGAATGGTGTGATCAAATATACGTTTGCATTTAAAGACAATCCACCTCTGAGTAGTTAATAGCGCCACTTGTGACAGTTTCCCATACATTTTAATACATATATTTAAAAACTGTATATTTTACAAAGTGAAAGAAAAATTTTCCAGGGGCCCTCTGGGAAATACAAGTTCAGCAGAGTTCAAGATTTCACTTAGGATTTAATTTTAGAAAGCTGTCAAAAATGTCAAACAATTTGAATACTTGATTAAATAGGGTCACAAATCACTATGAAACAATACTTGAATTCTATTGAACAGAGATGCAAAAAAAAAACTAGCAAATATTTTCATAAGACAAATAATCTTTGTTCTATTTGAAAATTACTAAGAGGATAAAGAATAACTTTTTATATTCTAGTATTTATAATAGATCAATAATCCAAGAAAACTTTGTTTTTATAAAGAAAACCAAACTCCAGTTTTACATCAGTAAGCTACTAGACTCATTTCATTTAAATTTTAAAAATAAATCCATTCACCTTAGCCAACTTCACAAATAGAAAGTTACTTTTCTGTAAACCTTCTACATCCTTCCATATCTATTCAGGTTTTATTCTATATTTTTCTTCTTTCTCATTCTAGAATAACCAGTCATCTTATTTTAAAACAAAATCACTCTCATTTTTCCTTAAGAACAAAAATATCCTTCATACTTTACATATTGTTTCTTTTTTAGTAGAGAGTGTGTGTGTGTGTGTGTGTGTGTGTGTGTGTGTATTTCCAAAGCCATCACTAACTCTCAAAAAAATTCACATTTGCCCTTAAATGTATATGCCTCGCTTACTCCAAGGCATGTTTCTCTTGAGATAATCCACATTTTCCCTTGAATGTGTATCTGCTTTCCTAAATAAATCTCTGTGTCTAAAAGGCACAGGCTGAAATTCTTTTCCATCACATACACAAAGAAGCCCATGCATCCTAAGTCAAGGTCCTCCTCTCCAGGAATTCTTTGGACCTCCTCTAGGGAGAGTTTAACCAAGTGCATACAGCTGACAAATACAAAACTGGGATTTGAGCCCAGGCAGCACATGTTCTTAACCAATATGCAATGGAGGTTCTCATTTGTCTATTTAATAACAATGGTTTTCTAGATTGGCTACTTTGAAAATAAAGCAAAAGTTTCATATCATATAGCACACCAGGGACTACAGAACTACATAATAAAGATAAATTTGCAGACAAGAATCATGTATCTTTTATTTATGTTTTGTCTTTTATTTATTTATGCAAAATAACCAAACTTGCAGATTCATTTGTCCCAACATGTGTTCTATTTGCACTGACTTTATTGTGATTTCTGGCATACATGTTACTATTTTACCTCTATTTTAAAGGCACCAGTTAACCACTTTAGAAATGGATTAATTCATTTTCTAAAGTAGAAATATGATGCAATTCTATTGTAATAATAACAATACAAGCAAATCTAATCAAATACACAATAAGTCAATAATGACATTAAGATAGTAAAGTAAGAGAAACTATTAACTGAATCTTAATTGACATGAACTGACATTAATTGACATGACCATTACTGTGCTTATGTCAAAAACATTAACTTTTTAAATGATTATTGAGAATATAAAAGAATTTTCATAAAAATCATAACTACATTTTACATTTCAAACTTTGTGAATATATTTTTAAAATGGTTTCATCATTTTCTTTTTGCAATGGTCAAACCATCTGGAAGATACCTGATAAAAAGTTAATATTGAAATGTGGGTGCTCAAACCTCACTTTGGAAGACAAAGAGGCTGGGGAATATTCACACAAAGTGCCTGGGAATTCTAAAAATTCATATTGTCCCCTACATTAGCATTCCTGCATTTTAGTATCCAATGGCATGATATAGAGAAGGCACAATGAGTACAAATGAGTTGTCTCATGATACCACAACAAGGGTATTGTAGCCAATGGACATTTTTCATTCTGAGGATGCCTAAAACGTCAGTTTAGTTTTAATCCATCCAAGAGGATTAGATTAAAATTAATACTCCCTCTCCCTTAAAGAAAAAGCAGATAAGTAGGAAAATACCATGCCATGAAAGCAAAAACAAAGAAAAATCATGAAAATATCTATAGAAATAAAATTAAATTTATAAACAAGATGAGCAGAAAAATAATTTTGGCTTAAGAGGCTGTAAAATGTACAATCAGGGAACCAGAGGAATTCCAAAAAGGCAGGCTGTGTTTCTGAGCTATCTCTTAAATCCAATTAGCCTGCTGATCTCCACACCTCTCTCTTATATCATCATACCTGGCCAATAGCCAACGTACTTGCTGTTCCAGATTCCTCTCATATACATACATGCACAAATCTCCATACTCCAGCATATCTACTCATTCTCAGATCTACAGTTCTTGCTGGAAGTGGTGGCTTGGAAGGATGAGGCAGTAGGATCGATGGTGAGTTCAAAGCTAACCTCAGCAAAGGCAAGGCACTAAGCAACTCAGTGAGACCCTGTCTCTACATGAAACACAAAATATGGCTGGGGATATGGCTCAGTGGTTCAGTACCCCTGAGTTAATTCCCTAGTACCTGAAAAAAAAAAGTATAGTCCTTTTAGGTTTTATAGATGTTACACTAGAAGACTAACTCTAAGCTGGAGGTTAGCAACTTCACTTTTGTGCTGAACCTTCAGTGCTTCCTCCTTCTCCTCCCCTTTCTTCTTGTATCAGTTAGATTTTGTTATTCAACAAACCCTTCAAAAACTTACTTAAAGCAACATTGGTTTTATTATTGTTCATTAGTCTGCTCTAGACCATATCACTCAAATCTGTCTGGCAATCAACAAGCTGGATACTCTTGGGAGCTTTAGTTGGAATGGCTTTTCTTGGCCTCCCATGGCCTCTCATTGTCCAATATGCTAGCCTGGGCTTGGTTTGGCATGACAAAAGAATTCAGATACCAATGTGCATGCATTCTTTAAATCTCTGCTTGGGTCATGTTTTTTGTAGTCAAAGCAAATCACATGAAAAAAGTCCAACGTTATTGTGGAAAAGCAATAAACAAGAGCATACACAGGAAAGTATGATTCTTTGCAGTCTTTTTTGACCCAATGTTCTGAGTTAAATTTTCTGCATCCTTGGTCCCAATATTAGTTTGATTGCAGTGTTTTTTGATGTGAAAGCATTTATTTGAGACATTCTGATTTTATAGAAACCTGGCTTATACTGGGTTTGGTTCTTTTTTTAAATGCCACTTCAGTATTTATCTTCTATTTCCACTAGATTTCTGATAGATACTTTGGATTTATACTCATTAATTTTTTGAAGCTCTGCTGTAGAAATCTAACATAAAAATACCTGTGGGAAACAAGAAGGCAACATAAGAGAATGAGACCAGCTTGGTTTAAAAATAAACAAAATGTACTATGGTATAAATTGGAAAACAAAAAAAATGCCATATCCAAAGGATGTAGCCTCAACTTACGTGTCATATGAGGATGTGGACTTTGTGTTTCCATACCTCCTTGTTTTTCAAGAAAAATAGGAAATATAAGTTTTAATGTGAAGTCTCCTAATTTCAAATATTAAAATCTAAATTTTTAAATGCAATATATTTTTCAGTGGCAGGGATCAAATCAAGGGCCTTGTGCATGCTAGCTAGGCAAGTACTCTCCCACTGAGTTATAGCCCTAGCCCCCAAATAAAATTTTAAATAAAACAATGATAGTGTTTAAGCTAAAGAAAATTGTGGCATATTCCTATATGTACATAGAAAATTTATGTCTGATTCATTTTATTGTCTTTCCTATTCCAAATATGAGTTCTTGAGTTGAAGGTTTCCTTCACTCTTTTTGATTTTGTTTTTGTTTTTTGGAGTACCAGGGATTAAACTCAGGGGCACTCTTTGTCAGGGTTAATTTGTAGCCCAAGGTGAAAAGAATGGGGATCTGTTGCTGAGATTTTTCATCCAAGGAAGCTCTATGAAAGGTGAAAGAGAGTTTTAAGCCAATTAAATAAGTAGACTGCAAAACTGGAATAGCATAGCATGCATATGAGAGAATGCACAAGCACATAAGGGAGTTCACTGTATCCTCAAATAACAATGAAGCTGGATGCATGCCTATACTCCCACCAGCTTGGGAGGCTGAGGCAGGAGGTTCTCAAATTCAAAGCCAGCCTCAGCAACAAGGAAGCCCTAAGCAATTCAGTGAGACTCAGTCTCTAAATAAAATACAAAAAAGGCCTAGGGATGTGCCCCAGTGGTTAAGTGCCCCTGGGGTCAATCCTCATATCAAAATAAATAAATAGGGCCTGAGGTTGTGGCTCAGCAATAGGCCCTGGGTTCAATCCTCAGCACCACATAAAAATAAATAAATAAAATAAAGGTATTGTGTCCAACTACAACTAAAAACTAAGTATTAAATAAATAAATACACAAATAACAATGGAGCCATATATATGTCCTAATTCTATCCTCTTTTCCTATAAAATAAGGTCAAATTTTTATACATCTATTTTATATGTCCTGTTTCTCTATGTTAATATTTTGAATTATTGTAACCACCCTAAGGTACTAAAGGAAATTGAGGGACAAGGAGATGAAGTAAGTAACTTGCTCAAGGTCTTAAAACTGACAGCTGAGATTTGAGCCCTGGAAGCCTGGTTCCAGCATGTGCTTAATCACTTACTGCCTCATAATAAAGGTCAGCCTCATATTATTTAAAAGAAAAGATCTAAAAGTTCTTTAAATAATGGCACACTTCATTCATAGAGGATTTCTTTTTCTTTTTAATTTAACATGACTATCTGTCAAGATGTTTGGGGTGGGAGCTTAGGAATTAAAAATGTATATTTTTCCTACTATTATAACCTCCTAAAAATCAATTCAGTTAAAACATTATGATATGATTATATTTATGGCTCTTAACCTAAAGCTTATGTAAGAATTATGCAACATAATACCTGAAGTAATGTTATGTTAAAAAAAATCAATTAAGTTTATATGGTTGTACTCTAAAATATAAGGAGAATCAAATTAACATAGTAAAAACACACACACACACACACAAAAAAAAAAGGAGACATAAATCTATGCCCTTCTGGTAAAATGTATAAAATCCCAATTTATCGCAATTTGGTATTTTGCCATTTCACAAAGTACAAATTTTCAAAATTACATTTCAAAATTTATACAGTAAACATTTCTGTAAGATATCTGAAGTATAGAACAAATACCTAATTGATTAACAAATATACCAGGATCTAGCAGATAGGCATATATATTATAAAAGCACAATAAATAAGAATTGATTGACCAATTGATTATGAAATGTGTTTAAGGTGACTTGGTTTGTTCTATAGGTGTCTGAATTCACACAGTAAAACACTTGATAATGAACTTCTCTACAGTAACACATCCAAAGCTATAAAACTAACTTCATCAGTGTAACTTAAATGACAAGTTGAAATATATCCTGTAGTAGATACTAAATCTAAGTACAACAGAGAAAGCAGGAATTACAAACCAAACTTAGTGAAAAGAAACAAAGAAAACTTAGAACTGTATAGGTGCAGAAACCAAAGTCCTGAAAGGTTGTTAATTGCCCAAGGTCATAGAATTAGTTGGTAGCAATCCAGTATTCCTTTCCCTCCACAATGACAAGTCACAAATTTTGCATGTTATTTCATAGTTTAATGTTATTTAAAGGCATATCTCTATTTGTGTTACAACTATATATGTATGTGCATTATCCCCTCTTAAAAGAGTCAGTAAAGGATGGTTGCAACAAGGACAGATTCTATAAGAATTATGCCTAGATTTTAATCCCAGTTCTGTCACTTACGAGCCACGTGGTATCTGTCAAATTTAATTTCTCTGGGCCTGTTTCCTCACTTATAAAATGGGAATAGTATCTACATCATAGGGTTGTTGTGAGAATTAAATGGACTATGACATAGTAAAGTATGTGAAACACTGCCCTTCACATAGTGAAAAAACAAACAAAACAGTAAATGTTATCATGCTGGAGGAGGAAGTATCACCAATCTGAAAGTCTGGGCAGAATCGCTTCTTTATACCATACAGGCTATTCAGAAAAATATATTTTTTAACCTATAAAATATATATACATATATATGCATAAGATATTATACATTATAAAATATATTATAACATATTACTTTGCAAAAACACTAACTATGCTCAAATATCCCTCTCTCCTACCAGGTAACCCAGATGTGACTCCAGCAATCAGCAGGGATTAGAGAAGAAAGTCTCTCATGTGAAGCTCAGAAGACAGTAAAAAATGGATAAGCAAATATAAAAGAAAAAATTCCAGGAGTCAAGGAAAACTATGAAAAAGTGTGAAGGATAACCTGAGATTAGAAGCCAGCAATCCCAATGCCATTTGGGAGAGAATGAAACAGGAGGAGCTAGTGTCCACAAGGAATCTAGGTTAACTGACCAGAACAGGGTGGCAGCCTCTGGCTTTCCATTATGTGCAGCCGTGGCAGGGCCCAGAAGAGATCACTCAAATTTAATGGTGCATAGCTTAAACTGACACACCACATTCAGGAACAATCTATTCCTGCTTTCTCTGCAGAGTGCTAATAACTGCAACAAACACCTGATTTAAACTGTGTGTAAAGTTAAATATTAAATTACCAAAATGTTTTCTTTAGCTCCAGTACTTTTTTACTACCTATCTTTAATTTTCTCCCAAGTTTCCTTGAACATTCTGGTAATAATTACTTTATTACTAATCTTGGTTCATCTTTAACAAATGTTCATTTATAAACAGCTAAACTGCACTTGGTACTGTACCATGTTATACAATTTAAACATATAGCTAATGCCCACCAAACACCAGTGAAAGAAAATCACTGACCTATCTAATCAATAAGTAGGATTGGATAGGAGCCTGAATAGAAACAGATCCCAGAGGAAGCTCAACATAATCTTGACTGAACTAAGACTGTGGAGACAGAAGAGGGGAAATGTCAGAACAAATACTCCAGAGGCATATTTAACAAAGTATTTGGTCTCACTGGAAGAGGGAAGATAGGAAATTGCTGAGGTTGACTTGCTGATTTCTGACCTAGGTGGCTCTGAGAGGCAATAGAGATGGGAGAACTACTTTGGAAAGGAAGGTAATTAAGTCAGTCTTGGATATATTAAATTTGGTTTCCTGCAGAATATTCAAGTAGAGGTATTACATATATAGGTCTTGGTGCTTATAAGAATGGTTTTCATGCTAGAGATGGAGATTTGGGAGAAATCACATGAAAATGGTCCTGAGTGGTACACAATGAACAAATTCTTAGAAACCAATTGAAGCCTACGAGGAAAAAGTTTAATTTTTTTATTTAAAAAATGGGGGGGAATGGATGTATAACCAATGTGATCCTGCAATCTGTACACGTGGAAAAATGAGAATTCATACCCTATTTGAATCAAATGTATGATATGTCAAGATCATTGTATTGTCTTGAGCAACTAATATAAATAAATAAATAAAGGGGGGATTATCAGCTTCAAATGTTACACACTGAAAATGTACTATTAGATGGAACAACTGTCATAATTGGTCATCAAGAACAGGTTCAATAAATCCAATACTAGGATGTGCCCACAACTGAGCTTAAACCATTAATGCCTTACAAGATGACAGAAAAATAAGAAGAAAAAAACCTGTGTCCTTAAATGACCACGTGAACTTGCAGTTGACCTGAAAAGTAAAGCAATAACTTTAAAGGTTAACCTTCTTTTTTAAAAAATTATTTTATTCATACATTGTAATTCTACATAACAGTGGGATTCATTATGCTATATTCATACATGCATATGACATTACTTGATCAATCTCATTCCCCAGTATCTTCCCTTTCCCTCTTCTTCTAATTTACCAATCCAGCAAATGAATATAGGAGGGGCTGGGGTTGTGGCTCATAGGTAGAGAGCTCACCTAGCACATGCAAGGCCCTAAGTTCGATCCTCAGAACCACTTAAAAATATATAAAATGGATATAGTATAATTTGTCTAATAAATTCCTTATGAAATCAGGCACAGTGTTGTATGCCTGAAATCCCACTGGCTCGGGAGACTGAGACAGAAAGATCATATGTTCAAAGCCAGCCTCAACAACTTATGAGGTGTTAAGCAACTCAGTGAAACCCTGTATCTAAAAATAAAATACAAAAAAGGGGTGAGGATGTGGCTTAGAGGTTAAGTGCCCCTGGGTTCAATCCCCAGTACCAAAATATAAATAAGTAAATTCCTTTTTGAGAATCTTTGGGTTCATTTCCCATTTTTTATCATTAAAAATAACACTATACTATAAAGACCTTTATATTTACATATAAATATATTTACATATAAATATAATTACATATAAATATAATTATTAATCTGTAATTATTTCTAGGGTTTCAACTCCTAAAGTAGAATTATTAAGTCACACACAGATTTTTGATGCAGACTGAAAGATTAAACTGCTTCATTTACCTATAGATGAGAGGAAAAACAAACAAACATGTCTTAAATCAGGTGAGGAAGTGATTATATGCTAAGATGACTATAGAAAAGATAAAGCCTGAAAAGGCTATCAGATTAGAAAGTCTGTTTATCCACAGTTGAATTATAGAAGTTATATTTCATTAAGTTTCCTATCTTCCTTAATTCTTCCTTAACTCTTTGATTCCTCTAATTTTAGTCAATTTCAGTTTTACTAGTCTCACAATTCTACCAATTCTACTCTTAAAATATCTCAAATTCACTCCCTTTTCTTGACACTTTGCCCAACTCCCCCAGTGTATTAAGAATTAAAATAAATAAAACCAAAAGATAAAAAAGTCCCTGACCCTAACCTGTCTTTATCAGTCTTACTTCCCACCTCTTAACCATCACCCTTGCAAACTTTATTATAACTAGATTGCCATTTACTTTCATCCCCTTGACAAATATATATTTTAGGGGGTAGTACAAATATAAGATGGTTTGTGAACTCTCCACTACTCATTTCTTCATTCATTGTGTATATAACTTACTTGTTTTATAAATGATTCTCAATCATTTATATCATTTAGATCCATGTCTTTTCCACATTGACTCCTTCCAGATTCCTACCACAATGACTGACACATGGTAAATACTCATTTACTAAAGGAAGCAAAGGAAAACTAGAGGGAACACTATAGGAGAGAGTAAACAAAGAAACTAATACAAAAGACATACTCAAATCAAGATAAATCATTTAAAATATTTTGTTGACCTATAATAGAAAAACTTATATTTAATGCAAGTTTCCATGCAGAAATGGTAATAACTTAGACATGATATTTTAATTTCCTGCTTCAAAAATCACTAACCTTCAAATCAAGCTTTAATTTTTTTATCATTAATTTTTATTTATTTATTTTTTTTGTATTGGGAATTGAATCCAGCAGTGCTTAACCACTAAACCACATTCCTCTTTTTATTTCAAGACAGGGTCTCACTAAGTTGCTTGGGGCCTCACAAAGTTGCTGAGGCTGGCTTTGAACTTTTGATTCTTCTGCCTTGGCTTCCAGAGCCACTGAGATTGCTCATATGTGCCACAAGCCCCACTGTTCTTTAATCTTTATGATAGTTTCACCAAGTGGATTCCAGAGAACCAGGCAAAATCTTTTGGAGGAAGGCCCAAGAAATCTGACATTTGGCAAGCTTTAAAGTGATTCTTAAACATACTAAATTTAGAGAATCGCTATTCTAAATTATTATTTTGTACATAAAATCACTTACATAATCTTAAATAATACTGGAAGCCCTCCAAATTTATAAATATGTGCCCATTCACAGAATGTAAAAGTTATTGACTTAATGACACAGTATCTTCTTGAACTTCTCTACATTATCACAAACATGAAAGCATATATAACTCCCATCTATATTTAAGATGCTGGTAATGCTTAATGCTATAACCCATGTCGTTATTTTAGAGGTAATAAAATCAGTAGAATTTTTGAAATCTCCAACTCTAGGATATTTAGGGAAAATAAATATCTGTCCCAGGATACTTAGACATTCATCTTCCTGAAACCCTGGAGCCTGCACCCTCTCAAAATTGTCCCTCAATGATTTTTTTATGATTAAGATCAGACTTTAAAAACTGATATGTAAAATCATAAACATTCGTATAACCACCATCTGTACTAGATGTGCTAGTCTGAAAGGAAAAAAATTAATAAAAGACACTTTTTTAAAATGTTTTATTTCTTCTTACTCTTGGCAAAATAGTTTAAGGATTATTTTGAAAGCTTTTCAAATATTAATATGCAATTTTAAAAAGAAACAGCAAATTACTCAACTAATAACAAATTGAAATTGTAAGAAATTTTCAGCAGTAGACTTTACATGAAACTTTTTTCAGTAGAATATTTCAAATGATATAATCAATAGTGTGCCTACATACAAAACTATCAAAAAGTACACATCATCATATTTTGCAACCTTCTTTAGTGTAAGGATGCATGATATTCATTGTTCTGTGGCATACATATAAATGATTACTAATTGTACAATAAGCCATGTGACAGCTTTAAGGTAATTGAAGCATGTAAAATATTCTCTCTTTAGCACATAAGGATTACAAATGATAATAGTATTTTCCTGACTATATTAAGATACTAGATACTTAAGACATAAACTTGAATATCTAATAATCTGTCAACCAATTCAAATATTAGAATCAATGAGACAAACATTATAAACCCTGAATTCATTAGCTGGCCAAGATACACAAAATCTCAACAAATATACAACACCCATGCATAGTCTAAAACACTAGTTTTAAAAAGGGTGGGGTCAATCTACAAGTAAGTCACAATAACCCAACAGGGAAAATGTCATGGCATTTAAGTAGATTGACAGTGGGCACTAAAGCCATTAACAAAAATATTCAATTCGACTTTTGACCATATATATATTAGATTTCCCCCTTCCTCCCACTCAGGTCTCAAATGCTTCTACTGTGAATTTTCTGGAACTTCTGCTCTGAGATCAGAAATCTTGTGTATAGTCTAAGCCTGTTCTCGCAAATGTTTTCTTAGTTTCTTAACTTCACTGACATTAAGCTCTCTACTAAGAATACAATTCATTTTTAAAGGTGGTATTTTTTAACTTTCAGCATATATCCTAAGAGGTAGGGATATATGCTAAAAGTTAAAACTTCCACATCTAAAAAAAAAAAATTTCCCTTCTTTCCCTCTTTGCAAAGTAAGAAACATGAACATATAAATAGTGAAATGGCTTGGACTAGAGATTAAAGCAACCCTTATCAAATGGTTGAAGACCAAAATAAAAGGAATCATCACGGTCTTTTAGAAAAGCTTGCAGAAAAGAATCAGCTACAAACTGTAAAATAAGTTGTTAGAGAGGAACTTCTACTTTCTTTGGGGCTCTGCATGTATGGGTCTTTTTGTTACAACAATTAAATATATACCACAACCTATGGCTTTTCACCAGGAATAAAGTCTTAAGTCTCTATAGCAATGTCAGGTCCTACGGGGTCTTACCAGTCTTCTCCCTTTCACTAGCTTTGCTCTAACCCAACTGAAAGCCAGTTATAGATGCTTTTACCTAGATTTTCATATGGTTGATCTTTTATCTAGCTTGTAGTTCTTAGTCAAATGTTACCCCCTCAG